CGGAAGCAGCATGGAGCGGGATCCCACCGCTGTTCTCGATCCCATTCCCGATCCCATTCCCAATCCCATTCCCAGCCCTATTCCTGATCCCATTCCTGATCCCATTCCCACTGCCTGGATGCTGCATCTCCTCCTGGATAAGAACCAAAAACCTGCCTAAAAAACAAAAAAAAATTTTGCTAAAGCCAGAGAAATTCCAAAAAATTGTTGGAGTTTCAAGTGGAAAAAGTGAATTTTTTTATGGTAAAAACTCCAAATTTCCGGGAATTTTTTGTGGGTTTTTTTTGGATGGAAAACAATCCCTGGATTTGTGCAAACTCCAGGTGTGATCCTGAGCTCATCCCACACCCACAGAGCTGGAAAAGCTATGGAAGACCCCACGGAAGCGGGATGGAGCGGGATCCCACCGCCGTTCTCGATCCCATTCCGGATCCCATTCCCAATCCCATTCCCAGCCCTATTCCTGGCCCCATTCCTGGCCCCATTCCCGATCCCATTCCCGATCCCATTCCCACCACCTGGATGCTGCATCTCCTCCTGGATAAGAACCAAAAAACCTGCCCAAAAAACAAAATCAAAAAATTCACTCAAGCCAGAGAAATTACAAAATATTATTGGAGTTTCAAGTGGAAAAAATGAATTTTTTTATGGTAAAAACTCCAAATTTCCAGGAATTTTTTGTGGGTTTTTTGGATGTCTAGATTCCCTGGATTTGTGCAAACTCCAGGTGTGATCCTGAGCTTATCCCACACCCACGGAGCTGGAAAAGCTACGGAAGCCCCCCGGGAAGCGGGATGGAGAGGGATTCCGCTGCCGTTCTCGACCCCATTCCCCATCCCATTCCCAATCCCATTCCCAGCCCTATTCCTGGCCCCATTCCCGGCCCCATTCCCGGCCCCATTCCCTATCCCATTCCTGATCCCATTCCCACCACCTGGATGCTGCATCTCCTCCTGGATAAGAACCAAAAACCTGCCTAAAAAACAAAAAAAAATTTTGCTAAAGCCAGAGAAATTCCAAAAAATTGTTGGAGTTTCAAGTGGAAAAAGTGAATTTTTTTATGGTAAAAACTCCAAATTTCCGGGAATTTTTTGTGGGTTTTTTTGGATGTCTAGATTCCCTGGATTTGTGCAAACTCCAGGTGTGATCCTGAGCTTATCCCACACCCACGGAGCTGGAACAGCTACAGAAGCCTCCAGGGAAGTGGGATGGAGCGGGATCCCGCCGCCATTCCCAATCCCATTCCCGACCCCATTCCGGATCCCATTCCGGATCCCATTCCCGCTGCCATTCCCGGCCGCATTCCCGCCACCTGGATGCCGCATCTCCTGCTGGAGGCGGATGTCGGCGGGGCTGAGGCAGCCGGGGTTGCGCCAGGCCCAGTCGGCCAGCGCGGAGATGTTGTTGATCTGGGCCTGGATGTCGTAGAGCAGCGTGGCCTGGATGTGCTGCAGCGTGCTGGATTCCCGGGAATGCTGCTCCAGGTCCTGCAGCCTCTGGATCAGGCTCTGGTTCCGCCCCGCCGCCTCCTCCTGCTGCAGCGGGGGGAAAAAAGGGGGAAAAACGGGATTGGGAACGGCGCAGATCCACGGTGGGTCCGTGGATCAAAGATCTCAAGGATTGGGGTTGGAATTCCCATGGTTCCCACCCAGATTGATGGAAGCACCCATGGAGAAAATTCCATGGAAGCCATATTGACCTGGATCTCCAGGGCTTTGGGAATGGGATGGATCCGCAACCCATCAAAGGTGGAGGAGATTCCATGGATAAAACTCAAAGACTGGGGATTGTTTTTGAGGAAATTATTCCTGATCCATTTTCCAACCGAACCAAATTCCAGGAGGTGGAAGCACCAATGGAAAAAAAGTCCCACGGACGCACCTGTACCTCCAGGGCCTTGAGGCGGTGCCGGTGGTTCCGCAGCTCCTCCTGGAGCTCGGCGGTCAGCTCGCGGAGCTCCAGGATCTGCTGCTTGCGCTCCTCGTTCTCGTGCAGCCAGTAGGAGACCTCGTCGGTGCAGCGGAACAGGTCCGGGCAGCGCTGCTCGTCGCCCTGCGGCAGCGTGGCCACCACCCGGCACCGCCCGTCCGGCAGCACCTGGTTGCTGTATTCCCCGCACCGGATCAGCCCCGGAGATTCCCGGGGATCCTCGTGCTCCCGGTAGCCGGCGGGAAGGGATTTCTCCAGGGACGGGCGGCTCAGCGCGGCCAGGAGGAGGAGGGAGAGAAATCCCGCTCTTCGCGGAGGGAATTCCATGAGGGGAAGGCGTCGGCTCTGATCTGGGAGGATTCCCGCGATCCCGGGAAATGGGGGTTTATGGGATCAGAGGTCACGGGGCTCCGCTGGAGATATGATCCCGTAGAATTCCAAGATGGGATCAGCCGGGATCCTCCGCTCCCTGCCGGCTCCGTGGGCTGCAATTCCCGCCCTGCAGAACGGGTTGGAGGGCGTGGAAGTCGGGATGAAGTGAACAAATTCTCGGGAATTCCGGAAGTCTGGAATTCCGGCCGCTCGGGATCAGGCGTGCGGAGGAGATGGCTCCCCCCAGATTGGGTATCCCGGTATTCTGGAGCTTCCTGGGAATGGGAATCAGAGCAAGGAGATGGATGATGGAAAATTTTTTGGGAGCAGCATCCAGAGGTGCTGCCAAAATTCCAGGATCCTTCCAGGCATTCCCAAGGAAACAGGACATGGATTAAATCCCACTGCAATTCCCTATCCCATTCCAAGCATTCCCAAGGATTCAGGATATGGATCAGACACCTCCCAACATTCCCTACTCCATTCCAGCCATTCCCAGAAAAAAAAGGACATGGATTAGACCCCCCTGAAAATTCCCAATCCCACTCCAGCCATTCCCAAGGAGATCCATGGATCAGAGCCCTCCCAACATTCCCTATCCCGGTTCCAGCCATTCCCAAGGATTCAGGATATGGATCAAACCCCTCCCAAAATTCCAAATCCCATTCCAACCAATCCCAAGGATTCCGGATATGGATCAGACACCCCCCAACATTCCCTATCCCGGTTCCAGCCATTCCCAAGGATTCAGGACGTGGATTAGACTCAATCCCTCCCCCTCAAAATTCCCTATCCCTTTCCAGCCGTTCCCAAGGATTCCGGACATGGATCAGACCTCCTCCAAATTCCCAATTCCATTCCACCCATTCCCAAGGATTCTGGATTCATGGATCAGAGCCCTCCCAACATTCCTTATCCAATTCCAGCCATTACCAAGGACTCAGGATTCATGGATCAGACCCTTCCCAACATTCCCTATCCCTTTCCAGCCATTCCCAAGGATCCCAGGACATGGATTAGACCTCCTCCAAATTCCCAATTCCATTCCACCCATTCCCAAGCATTCAGGACAGGGATTAGACCCCTCCCAATATTCCATATCCCGTTCCAGCCATTCCCAAGGATTAAGAATTCATGGATCAGAGCCCTCCCAACATTCCAAATCCCATTCCACCCAATCCCAAGGATTCAGGACATGGATTAGACCCCTCCCAACATTCCCAATCCTGTTCCAGCCATTCACAAGGATTCAGGATTCATGCATTAGACCCCTCCCAACATTCCCAATCCCGTTCCACCCATTCCCAAGGATTCAGGACAGGGATTAGACCCCCCCCAACATTCCAAATCCCGTCCCAGCCATTCCCAAGGATTCAGGATTCATGGATCAGAGCCCTCCCAACATCCCCAATCCTATTCCACCCATTCCCAAGGATTCAGGACAGGGATTAGACCCCTCCCAACATTCCAAATCCCGTTCCAGCCATTCCCAAGGATTCAGGACAGGGATTAGACCCCCCCCAACATTCCAAATCCCGTCCCAGCCATTCCCAAGGATTCAGGATTCATGCATTAGACCCCTCCCAACATTCCCAATCCCATTCCACCCATTCCCAAGGATTCAGGATTCATGGATCAGAGCCCTCCCAACATTCCCTATCCCGGTTCCAGCCATTCCCAAGGATTCAGGATTCATGGATCAGAGCTCTCCCAACATTCCCAATCCCGTTCCAGCCATTCCCAAAGATTCAGGACATGGATTAGACTCAATCCCCCCCACTCAAAATATCCCTTTCCAGCTGTTCCCAAGGATCCTGGACATGGATCAGACCTCCTCCCACTTCCCAAGTCCATTCCACCCATTCCCAAGGATTCAGGATTCATGGATCAGAGCCCATCCCAACAATCCGGTTCCAGCCATTCCCAAGGATTCAGAACAGGGATTAGATCCCTCCCAACATTCCAAATCCCGTTCCAGCCGTTCCCAAGGATCCCGGACATGGATCAGACCTCCTCCCACTTCCCAAGTCCATTCCACCCATTCCCAAGGATTCAGAACAGGGATTAGATCCCTCCCAACATTCCAAATCCCGTTCCAGCCGTTCCCAAGGATCCCGGACATGGATCAGACCTCCTCCAAATTCCCAATCCCACTCCAGCCATTCCCAAGGATTCAGGATTCATGCATTAGACCCCTCCCAACATTCCCAATCCCGTTCCACCCATTCCCAAGGATTCAGGATTCATGGATCAGAGCCCTCCCAACATTCCCTATCCCGGTTCCAGCCATTCCCAAGGACACCCATGGATTAGACGACCACCACCCCACCCCCCAACATTCCCAATTCCAGCCACTCCCAGGAAGAAAAAACCCAGAAAAACCCTCCACACACCCAAAATTCCCTATCCCACTCCATTTTCCAATTTGCCATTCCCAGCAAAACACCCCCAAGAGTTCCACCCCCCTGCCTTGCATCTCTTCCCAACTTTTCTCCGGATCAAAACCAGGGGTAAGAAACCCGTGGGACCCCCAGGCCCCTCCCGGAATTCCCGGCTCACCTCGGAACGTCCAGGCCGGGCCCCCCGGGAGCGGCGGGCGGCCGGCTCCGTCCGGCCACCGAACCCTTGATTCCCGCTGATCCTCTCAGCGCTCTAAAAATAGGGATGGGTGATCCGCCGGCGGGAAGCAGGATCCCCGGGAGCCCCGGCCTGACCTTCTCAGCCCGCCCGGGATTATTCCAGAGCCTCCGGAGCAGCGGGAAAACCGCGCAGCTCCGCTCGGTGCCGTCCCGGTGCCGCTGCGGAGATGCTCCCGCTGAATTCTTCCTTTCCTTTCCTTTCCTTTCCTTTCCTTTCCTTTCCTTTCCTTTCCTTTCCTTTCCTTTCCTTTCTTTCTCCTTTCCTTTCCTTCCCTTCCCTTCCCTTTCCTTTCCTTTCCCTTTTTCCCTTTTTCCCTTTTTCCCATTTTTTTCCCATTTTTTCCCATTTTTTTCCCATTTTCCCATTTTCCTTTCCCATTTTCTTTCCCATTTTCCTTTCCCCCTTTCCTTTCCTTTCCTTTCCTTTCCTTTCCTTTCCTTTCCTTTCCTTTCCTTTCCTTTCCCCTTTTTTCCTCCCTTTCCCCCATTTTCCTCTTTCCGCTTTTCCCCCTTTTCCTCCTTCTCCCCTTTTCCCATGAGATCCCGGGAAAAGGGCGAGGCTGGAATGTCGGGATGGAGCGGGGATGGTGGGGGGGAAATCATGGGAAGGAAGTTTAAACGGGAGATTTGGGATTTTGGGAAGGAATTCCTGGCTGGGAGGCTGGAGAGGGGCTGGGCTGGAATTCCCAGAGAATCCCTGGGAGTGTCCAAGGAAAAGCTGGAGCACCCTGGGATGGTGGAAGCTTCGGGGTCGCAATGGAATGGGGTTGAAGGTCCCTTCCCACCCAAACCATTCCAGGATTCCATGAAATTTTCAAATCCCAGCTCTGTTCCCAGCTTTTGGCCCTCCAGGATGGAGTTGTCCTCTCCAGGATCCACATTCCCGGGAAAAGGGAGAGGAACAAACTCCCCGTGGACTCGGTGCTCTCGGAGCTCTTCTCCCACCTAAACAATTCCATGATTCCATGGGGTTTTCCCGGGTAATTCTGGTAGAATCTCTTCAGATCCGCAGATTTTAACGAAACCCTCTGGAGCCGCTGCCGGGTTCCTTGGGCACAGCTCAGAATTCCCCCTCTGGACTCGTTTTTTGGGACACGGGATGGCGTTTCCCAGTGCACGGATCTCTCCATCCGCCTTTGAAGTGCCAGGCAGGTGACGGATGCCGGTGATGTCAGCAGGAAAAACCTGGAAAAATCCCAAGGAAAAGCTCTCTTTGATTGAAGGGATGACGAGGCCGCTCCATTTATTTTTGCCTTTCAAGAGGAACAATTCCATTTTTGGTTGGGTTTTTTTTGGTTCTGTTTTTTTGTTGTTGTTGTTGCTGTTGGTTTTTTTTGGGATCATAAATAAGCCAAGAATGAGCTGTGGGATCTGCAAATCCCGGCAGGAATTCTGCAAAGGCCTTGGATGCTCCTGGGATGAGCAGGAGGCATGGATCCCAAAATGAAGGGATGGGTTGGGTTGGGTGGGAAGGGAACTCAAATCCCGAACCATTCCAAGGGCAGGGACAATTCCCACTATCCCAGAATCTCATCCAGCTTTTCTTTGCACACTCACAGGGATCCAGGGATTCTCTGGGAATTCCAGCCCAGCCGGGAATTCCTTCCCAAGATCCCACCATCCCAAGCTTCCCTTTCCCACTGGAAGCCATTCCCTGGCTCCTGGCCCTCCAGCCCTTTCCCAAATCCCAGCTCTCCTGGAGCACCTTTGGGCTCAGGAAGCAGCTCCAAGGATTCCCTGGATCCTATTTTTTTTTTCCATTTGGAGCCTCATCCCAAAATATTTCTCTGCTGGGACAGAATTCCAGCCTGGAGCAGCTCTACAGGATCCTGGAATGGCTTGGGTGGGAAGGGACCTCCAATCCCATCACATCCCATCCCATGGACACCTCCCGCTATCCCAAGATTTCCTTGGACACTCTCAGGGTCCCAGGAATTCTCTGGGAATTCCATCCGAGCCCCTCCCCACCCTCCCAGCCGGGAATTCCTTCCCCAAATCCCACCCCGAGCTCCTCTCCAGCCATTCTCCTGCTCCATGTCCCGGGGGATTTGCGTTGCTCCACGGCCGGGCTGGGATCAAGGACGGCGAATCCCCCTGGAAAACCATTCCAGGCTGTCCCCAGATGCTCCCCGGGAGTGCAAATGTGTGGAATTAAGGGAATTGCCGTGTCCTGCTTTCCCCTAATCCCTCTAATCCCTGGAATTACACATTCGGGCCCATGGCAGCTTCCAGACCCTTCCCGGCCATTCCCAGCTCCAGGCCAGGCTCATTCCCGGCGGGATCGGGGCACATCCTCATTCCCAGTCTGTCCCAGTC